GGGAATATATTCCAAGATCCCCAAGATCTGAAGCCACGGATAGGATCAAGCCCTATATAGACTATGTTTTTCCCTATACATATATAACCTGTGATAAAGTTTAGTTTATAACTAGGCAGAGTGAGAGATTAACAGGAATAATTTATAAGACTATAAATAAAAGTTAATCTCTCTAAATATCTTATTGTACTTTACTCACCCTTCTGGTGAGGATGTGAGATGATAAATGTCTACACGGTGAGAAGAAGTATATGACACAGACCCTGGGACAGTGCATCAAGAGCTCCCAGACCAGGGCTGACCACAGGTTAACAGGAACACGGATGGGGGAGGAGGGGAACTACTATGGTCACTTTCGTGGCAAGGGGCTACCATTTGGGGCAGGTCTACCACACTGACAACCTAAACAACCAGCCAAGCCAACACAGACCATCAATGGGAATGTACAGCAATTTAACTAAAGCTGTCTGCACCCATTCCAACTTGGCTGGATTCAGGTGGGAGGGGGGACAGTTCATTTCCTTATATTTCCGGTAGATTACCTACAATTATTTTAAAAGATACAGCATATCTAACACAGGGTTTTCTTATTTGGCATCCCTCATGATAGCTACAAATACAAGCAAAAGTGACTGGTATTTGCCACATGCCTCAGTATGGACTTACTGTTCATGAGCATTTCATAAAAATTAGGATGTTAAAGAGCTATGGAAACAATTCTCTCTACTAACACAAGACTGAACAGTTTTTCTCTAGATGAGCAAATTGCTCTTTAGCTGAATGTGGACCATGAAACATAAGCAGGCGGGAAATCCAAATTGTGATGTGAAATAACCTACATGCATTCTTAACCACCGGCGTTCATAGAGAAAATGACAGCCAGTATGTTTTAAAGTTGTTTAAATTATGGCCACAAGTAATGTATTTCTAGATAGACTCTCAGAAGAGCAAACTCTAAAAGTATTACTTTTTGATTCACAGAAATGTGACACGTCTCAGTCTAAACACCAACGTGTTAGACCATAATGTGATTCCTCCCCATCTTGCAAATACTTCTAAAGAAATGGGACTTCGGATAATAATCTTTTTACTCTTGAGAAAATTGTAGTAGTATACTTACCGCTCAAGTTTTTTCTCAATTATAGGTACATCTAATCCCATGGCTTGCTTGGTCATCTGGAGCATCTCTGCAATGCACTGCAGGGTATCTGAAACGCAAACACAACTGCTTGCCAGTTTCTCCAAAAACATACTAAAATAGCACTTGTAATTCAGACCCCTAAATGAAATTTGTGGTCATACATTTAAATCCAAGTTTATTTGCTAAAATTTACAGAAAATTGCTTGTTTACTACTCTCTCCACTAATTCAAAATGTTCTAAAACGTATTTTAACAGAAGAGTTAATAAAGGACAAATGAACCAAATCAATTGGAATTAAAAGTTTCTTCTCATTTGTCCCGTGTTAGATGCCAAGGCAACAGTGGTGAACAAGACAGAAATGTCCCTTGACTACTGTCCGTGAAAGGCACACGTGGTAGGAAGAAGCCCTGGTACCCCGTGGCCAAACACTGAGATTTCCTTGCCCCAGCTACATCAGTTCAAATAATTTCCCTGCTTTCTGGGGGAAAGAGTGACTACTTCATGGTCATAAAGCTATGTTCCATTTATAATGGTATGAACTGTCCTCACTTCCAGAAGCAGATCAAAGTTATCTGAAGAGCAGATCAAAAGTTAGCACCAAATAGTCATCTCTTCATTACCTTTCCCATCCTCTTCTGGATTGCGCATTACAGCTCTCAGTGTGTGGAAATAGCCACTTGTTTCTTTGTATCTGTAGTGCAGTCGCATGCAGGAGAACTTCGGCTTACCAAAGAGAGTGGGTTCGGGACCTAAAAACCCAAATGAATATGGTTAAACCTTTCACATAAAATTCATTTTTCTGTATCTTCAAAATACTAACACTTATTCATCAGGTTTTAGCACATTTTTCTTATTTCTTCTAAATAAGAGTACACAATATAAGCTTATTGTGATGATTTGGTTTGATGAAACTAAATAAAGACTCTTCTTCAGTCTCAAGTATTTAAACTTTCTTGATCCTTGCATGAATCTTCATAAGGTAAGCAATTAAAGAAATAATTACTAGACCATATCATTCACCGCTAATCTAAAGAATAGAAGAGAGTCCTAAGAAATAGACCAGCTGCAATGTCAGTATCCTTTTCTGATTCTAGTAAGTCGTACTGCTTGCTCAAACAATGTGGCCCACTCTTGGAAGAACAGTATTTGCTTTCTAGGACTTGGTTAGCATGTTAAAATTTACCTATTTCTATTTTTTCCAGGTCTTCTAGACTTAGTCGTTGATACTGGTTTACTTTATCAACTTCATCATCATAACTGGATAAAGGGAAAGGAAGTAAAAATAGGATTAAAATCAAAACCGTATTTGGCTCGTCAGCTGAGACAGAATAGGAGCAACTTCTACGCAGTTAAAATCTTCCAGGGCACAATATACTCTTGGGTAAAGAGTTTAAACATTTAAAAACTAGATGAAATGAGATTGACATATATGTAGTTTAGTAGCTAAAGGAGAATCAGCTTATGGATCTTAAACTAAAATCAGTTAACAAAATATAATTTGTTTTATAAAAACTTCTACAAAACAAAACCAACAAACCTAAAAGGAAGGCAAACACATACATATACTGAAAGGATGTGTTTGTGATTAACACAGCAGATAAACCTGCTGTCCAAACTCAAAAATAAAAAATCCATATAATCAATGCCAATGGGCACCTGGGCCAATGACTTAAAAAATTGTTCGTTAAAGGCCAGAAAGAAAGAATTTCCTTAGAGAAAAAATATTGATTTTAGTAAGGCAAACAAGCAAGTACTTTTTTTTTTTTTGCTGGTGGCATTGTTAATTAGTAGTGTTTCTGGAGATCTGGCAGTAAACCACAAAAGTATAATTGATCAGACTCTTGTAACCAAAGAGGCAGGTGTGTGCGTGCGTGCGTGTGTGTGTGTGTGTGTGTAAAAACACAATTATCTGCACAAAGACAACTGTTTCATTGCTAATAGCAATAAAATGGAAGTATCAGTGCCAAACAATGGAGAAATATGTATTGTATAGTGATTAAAAATGTATACTTATTAACAAAGTATATGGAGTACATCAAAACATGAAAAATATATAGGAAATAAGCTAAGTGCTAATAGAATATTAAATAAGCTAAGTGCTAAAATCCCATTTGCAGATTAACAGTGATGGAACAGTTATGTAGGGTTCCATGAAGTTCCTTAAAATATGTAAAACCAGATTCTTAATGTCATGAATCCTAATAAGGAAATGTACTCATATTACAAGAACCATTAAAAGCTTTAAATCAAGCAACTTACTAGGCCACGTAGTAGGCAGAGTTAGAAAGCAGTAACAGCACATCCACATCTCTGTGAGTAGCATCAATGAGGCTAAACAGACATGACACAGGGAATTAAATATTTTCATTTTCATCAAGATTACCCCTATAGCAGAACCACTTAAGATCGTTGGGCGGGGGGGGGGGGGGGGGGAAAAAAAATCAGTGAATCCTACTTTTGAAGTCAGATGCATACAATCTATCCATGGCGGGGGCAGTATGAGTTTTGGGGTGGGGGCTGTCAGGAAAGGGCTGCAGCTGAGAAGAGGTCCCTTCTCAGAGAGTGGTGGTCAAGGAGGTGGGAGGATTCAGGGAAATAAGATAATTTCCAGGGAGAGGGGATTGGGAAGAAAGGAAAACCCTCAGGCTCAGAGGAAGAGAATGTCTAGATTATCTCACAAGACCTAACCATCAAAAGGACACTGCACGGGAAGGATATTTTTACACACATGTAGGATGAATCTTTTGGGGGAAAAAAAAATTAACATAGATATGTATAGATAAAAATACATAGATTTAGATGCAAAAATTGGGACTGAGCCCAAACCACTCTAAATTTCTTACTCCAGATTTATCAATTTGCCTTTTAAAGAAGGAGTAAACATTTCCTTTTTCTAAGTCCCTTTTGCTGTATTTTCCCACCACTCACAAATCAAATAACAAAGTAAGGGTCAGAAACTAGATGAGTGTTGATGAATTCATTAAACGTACAGCAAAATGTACATTTTTGTAAGATTACTAATTAAAAAATGGTTGACATATAAAATCTACAAAAAACCAACAGATAAAGCTGGCAAAATGTGAACTCAAAACTTCTAAGTCATGTAATATCAACAACCTCTAATCACAAGGTGGAAATCAATCTACGTTCTAATTAGTCTCAAAATTCCACTATACTCCCTTTGAATTTCATCCCTATTTGCTAAGATTTACCAAAATGCTACTGAAAAACAAATGGAAAACAGTAGGGGGGGGAAATCACTTGTCGATGGAAGTCACATCCTTCAACTGCGTCAGAGTGAGGTCATTGTCTCCTGCGTACTGCGGGGACAAACGCACCAAACTTGGAACCCGCAGTAATTTACATCAGCGGCACCTCGTCGCAGCCGACCGCCGGCGGTCTCACGCTAACGTAACACATTCGCCTCAATTTTCACCCAAAATAATACCGAAAAATACGACGACTGAGCCACCAGGACCCGACAGCCCGAGGCTCCCGCGTGCGGAACCCCGCGCGCGCCCGCCCGCGCCGCACCCGCCGCGGTACTTACACGCGCGCCGGCCGCGGGCGCCCCCGCCGAGCCTCCGCAGTCACGTCAGCACACATTTTCACGGCTCTAAGTCTACGTCTCCAAGTCAGCGCGGCCCCCCGCCCCCGCCCGGGCGGTCGTATCTACACCAGTCCTCCGGGATCCTCAGTCACAAACACTATGTCTGAACACAAAGCACTGGGCACGGAACAGGCGGTCAGGAAATAGCCCCCCACCCCCCCACCCGCGGCTTTACTGGAGTCTCCGCCGCAGTAAAGAGTCCCTCCCCCCACCCTCCCCCAAAGCGCACAACGGACACGACTGTCAACACGGATGAAAAAAAAAACCCCCCCCCCCCCGCCCCCCGCGGTCGCAGCTCCCGGGCTGCTCTACTCGTTCTTGTTCTCCTGCCAGTCGGGCATGCCCTCCTTCCACACGATGAACACGAACACCGCCAGCACCACATGCAGCCCCACCACAGCCACGATGGTCGCGTAAAAGCCACTGTCGTCAGGAGACATTAACAGGAGACTCTGGAAAAGGAGCAATTTGCAGGAAAAATACAAGCCCACAGGAACTTTAACCATCAGTCCTGCAAAAAGGAGAAAAATCTTGAAAGTCGTGGCCAGGCTGCCGCCTTCGGGCTTGGGCTCGGCAGCGTTGCCAGTGGCATTGCCCGTGGCGTTGGCGGGCCGCTGGGCGGTCGGCGGAGGCCTATGGGAGCGCGGCATGGTGTCCGTCCGTCAGTCAGTCCGTCCGTCGAGAAGTCGAAGCTCAGTCAGAGCCGCCTACACCCGACCTCGCGCCTGCTGCGACTGCGGAGACTGCGGCAACTGCGGCAACTGCAGAGCCAAGCCCCGCCCAGGAGCCGCCGCTCGCTTCCGGCCGCCCCCGCTGCCGCGGCACCCGCCCAGTGCGCATGCGCGCCCGCCCCCGCCAGTCCGCCCTCGCACAACGCCCAGCCCGCGGTGGGGCGGGGTGCGGAGGAGCCCGCAGTGCCCGGGACCCCCGCCGGACCCTCACCGGACCCTCCGCCGGACCGCGCCCACACCACGGGGAGGGGTCGTCACCCAAGGGACGCGGATGGCCGCGGCACTGCGAGCGACCCTCTCCTGCACTCACACGCCCGACAGCGCGGCTGCTCCTCTGAAACGGGGGCGGGGGGGAGGCGGGGGAAGTGGTCATCTACTCGGGGTGGAAAAAGCGGGTCCGGTAGAGCTGGGCAAAATAAGGAGTGGGCCGGTGCAGGTCCTGATGGGCAGCTGGGCAGGACGCCCGGCGTCCTTCCACTTTCCAGGCTCCTCTTGGGACCCGGAGCGCGCCCCCAGGCACCTGTCACGGAGGGCCCAGTGTTTTGGCGGCAACGGGGCACAAGGCTGGGGGAAGGAGCGGCGGGACCCGCAGTCCTCCGTGCCGGGGGCTGGCCACAGGCGGTCCTAACTGAGCTCAGGGCTGCAACAGAACAGGCCGCGGCGGCGGAGCCGGGGAGGCCCGCGGGCAGTGTGGGGACGGCGCGGTGGCGCGCCGGGAGGGAAGGGCAGAGAGAGCAGGCGCCAGGAGCGGGCCGTTCCCGCTGCGGCAGGGCTGCGTGTGTTTGCCAACTGCGGCCGGAACTGGTTTTTTGCCAGAGAGTTAAGCGGCTGCGACTGCAGTGCGGCAAGTCTCTGGCGCAAAATTTCAGAGGTCGTCAAAAACACTCAGCCATCAAGATAATTGTTAGTGCAATACTTAAAAAAAAAAAAAATCAAAATTCCAAAATATGACGAACAAAACACCAGCGTTTTAGATAAAGATAGGATGCGACCCTGCGGCTGTACAAGCTTGCTCACTTGTCTCACGCAAACCCTAGCCCTAGCCCCTGTAAAAGTTTATTTACCAAAACACGTAGCTCAACTCGACAACAAAAAAACAGAGACCCCAGTTTTTAAAATGGGCAAAGGATTTCAAGTTTTCTAAGGAAAATATACAAATGGCCAAGAAGCACAAGAAAAAAAACCCTTCCCATCCTTTGTCAGTAGGGAAATGCAAACCAAAACCAGTGAGATACCACTTCACACCCCTTGGGAGGAGTACAATTTAAAAAAAAAAAAAGGGAAAGGAAAAAGTATTAGCGAGGAGGTGGAAAAATTGGAATCCTCATACACTGCTGGTGAGAATGTCAAATGGTACAGTCACTGTGGAGAACAGCTTGGTGGTTTCCCAGAAGTTAAGCACAGAATTACACATGACCCACCAATTTCCACTTCTAGGTATGTACCCCCAGATAAAAACTGGTGTTCAAACCAAAACAGTATTACTATTTAGGAGAGCCAGAAGGTGGAAACAACCTAAATGCCCATCGTGGAAGAAAACAGACAAAATGGGCTCTAACCACAGGACAGAATACCATTCAGCTACAAGGAGGAATGAAGCCAGTCACAAAAGGAAACATGTTATGTGATGCCATGTATATGAAATGTCCAAAACAGGGACATCTATAGAGACAAAGAGTAGATTAGTGGTTGTCTGGCCACAGGGAAAGGAGAATAGGGAGGGAGTGATCACTAGTGAGTACAGGGCTTTCTTTGAGAGTAGTGAAAATGTGACTATACTAAAAGCTATTGAATTGTATGCTTTAAGCGGATGGATAATGAATTATATCTTAAAGGTGTTTTTAAGAACATATATACAGAACCCAGGAGTGAATGGCTAAGGCAGACAGGTACTAACTACTGAAGACCCTAAGCCCGACAGTTGGCTGGCTGGCTGTCTCAGGACCTGAGCTGGCACAGGCATTCCCAGAGCTGCTTCTCCCTGCTCCGTCAGAGTCGTCCACGGCTCTGGCTCAGCTGATAGACTGTACAAGTGTTCTGTAGCAACTCAGCTAACCGAATAGCCAGTTTCCACATATACCTTCAGGGGAAAACTATCCACCATCTACAAAATAATCAAGCTTTTGCAAATGAAGAAAAATACTAGTGACGAATTTAAAGAAATTTTATCAGTATTATAAAGCATGGCAACCACAAGATGAAGTAGAGAGGAGCTAACAAAGCGGATTCTTAACTGTGTAATCAAGATGCAAACACACAGTTAATTTTGGAAATTCCAATGGACGCATGATACCCATCAAAGAATCATCCACCTGAGACGAAAATGAAGTGGATCTGAAGACGGTAATTACTCTGTATCTGAAAAAGCATCTCCTCTGGAATGAAAGGCAGAAGAAAAGACTGTTCTGAAACACTGCTGGCTCCTGCTCCAGCTCCTCCAGGGCCCAAATGGAAGGCTCCAGATCGCCTGTGCCTCCCAAAGGGGCCAACACCGGGACCAGCCACAGGGTGGCAAAGTGTCTCCCTTTACCACAAAGATACCAAGACGCTTGATAAGCAGGTCTCGGCCTTTTCTCGAAGACAACAAGCCAAAACATGACCTTCAAAGTCACTGACTCCAAAGCACCAGCTTCATTATCTACTCCATCCGCATCACCTTATCTCACAGCTTCAAAGGCAGCAGTTTCTAGTAAAACAGTAACAGTGGGAAACACAGGAGGCAAGACAAAAACTAGCAAGCAGCTAACACCTTGCTTGTAGCAAGCTTTAAATAGCAGAGCTAAACACACTTCACATAGTTTTAACCTCCTCACTCAGGATACCAACTTTACATGGGAATTACAGGATCGGAAATCAAGTCAGCTGTGAATGGCAGTTCTACAATTTGGATTTTTAAAAAATCACATATTGCTTTAAAGTATTTCTCTTCATTACTGTGTTGTTGTAATGCCCCCTTAATTTTGCACCCAAGGTGAGTGCCTCAGTCAGCTTGCCTTAGTGACCAGCCCTGTATCTGAAAACTGCCACGCATCACACGTCCATGTCCCTAGCTTTATGGACGAACACTAGTACTAATTATGACGAGACCATCAGAAATTTAAGTGTCCTTAGTTACTAGAACATCAGTCCAACTCACCTGGGGTCACAGTCAATGAGGGCCCAGCCCCCGTGGAACTTTTCATCATCAGGCAGCAGTAACTTCATATAACTTTGTAGCAGCTGGCTAATCAGTTCCTGGTGGCTTCTCTGAGTCTCCTTGTGCAAAGCTTCATGTTCTTTCTCCTTGGTAAATATGGAATAAAGATCTTCCGTCACTGGAATGCCTTGCATCAAATCTAGAGTAGAAAGTGTTAATATCTATCATCATCTTACTTGGCTAATACATTTAAAACAACAGAACTCATAAGAAAACATAGGCATGAATCTTGGTGGTCTTGGATATGGCTTTTTTGTTTTAGATATGACACTAAAATCACAAGCAACAAAAACAAGAAAAATCAACGAAGTGGATCTCATCACAATTAAGAACTTTTGTGTCTCAAGGACAAGATCATGAATGTGAAAAGACAACCACACAACGGGTGAGAGTATTTACAATCAACTGATAGGGACTTGGATTCAGAATATATAAAGAATTCCTACAACTCAATAACAAAGACAACCCAATTTTAAAATGGGCATGGGGGGTGCCTGGGTGGCTCAATCAGTTGGGTGTCTGCCTTTGGCTCAGGTCATGAACCCAGAATCCTGGGATCAAGCCCCACGTCGGGCGCTCTGCTCAGTGGGAGTCTGCTTCTCCCTCTCCCTGCTGTTCCCCTGCTTGTACTCTTTCTCTGTCAAATAAATAAAAACTAAAATCTTTTAAAAAAAAGAAAAAGAAAAAAGAAAATAAAAAGAAAACGGGCATAGGATCTGAACAGACAAGCTAACTTCGTCGTGGTGTGGCATGCAGCTCTAGCTTCAGGAAGCACCGTAATCCATTCCCCACAGACGGGCAGGACAGCGAGACTGGCAGCTTCTGGGACAGAGATGCTGACCACTGGCCTTACGAGGGGAAACAGTAGGCCCAGACTGCTACTCTCTCTCTCACCTCTGAAGAAATCCAGCTTCAAGATTCAGGTGAAGCTAATGTTGTGGACAGAGAAAGAGAGACACAGAGCCTGGGTCTGCAGTGACATAACAGCCACTAGGTCAATCAACGGAGGAAAGGTATCCTATTTGTCCCTGATTAAACTGCTAAAATCCAGTTTTCCAGTCAACACAAATCCCACCTGTGGCAAAAACCAAACTTCTTTACACTAGACATCTCAAATTCCTAACTGGCCTGTGCTGAGGCCCTACTATGTCATGTATGACAAAAAATCAGATTAAAAAGTAGGATGTAAAAAATATTCCCAGAGACCACAGGACAAGCTGTTACTTTGGTTTCAGTCCAGAAGGCTCTGCATTTACTTTAATCCTATGAGGTAATACTTCCATGCAAATTAAATTTAAAAAATTTGCCAACGTATATATTGCACTGGGCAAGCTACTCTCCATTTCCTCTTCCAAATAATGATAAGAATTGGTTAGGATTATCCCTAAATCTGATAGCCTGATACTATGTTCATTCATTCTCACAGGAAAGGATGTTGTGTTGTCCACAGCAAAAATACATGATAAATGTCACATGGGGGAAAGCAAGACCTCTCATTACATCTCGCAGCCCTGAGTAATGGAAAAACAAATTGAATGTGGAGTGTTCAGTTGATGAGGCTCTAGGCTACCTCGTTCCATACTCTAGGAACCTCGACTCTGCTTTCTGTGACATGAACAGCAACCCAACAAATACGTATGGAAATGAGCGGTTGCTTTTGTTGCTTCAGCCTAAAAAATTCATCAAATTCTAGTCATGTAAAAATCTGAACTTGATTTCTTGGGTAAGATACTGAATATAGAAACACAAGTATATTATAAAACATGAACTATGTTAATGAAGTTGGTTTCTGTGAAA